ACTTACTACTAACTACGTCGAACCGAACGTACTACGTAGGTAGGAGTTACTTCGGTCCGGACGTACTACCTACGTACGTATAGTATAGTGAAACCTAACGTAGTCGTATTCCTCCTCTCTCTCTCTCTCTCTCTCTCTCTCTCTCTCTCTCACATGCACTCACGCACATTCGTGCACAGAGATAAAAAACATGCAAAAAGGAAAAGCTCAAAACTCAATATGGCCCCCTCAACCCAACTCCTCTTCAATGCACAGCAACCCCGCCTCTTCTCTCTCTCTCTCTCTCACCCCAACTCCTCTTCAATGCACAGCAACCCCCCTCCTTCTCTCTCTCTCTCTTCTCTCTCTCTCTCTCTCACACTCACACAAGTACATACACAAAAAGCAATTGCTACATTGGATCCCTCTCCGAGATCAATTTTCTAAATAGGACTGGTTTTACCTTTTCAATGAGAGGCAAAGCATGTTGCTGCCACTCAAAAGCCCAATTTGCAGAAGCTCCACTTTCCTTAGCACCTCTCCTCAGTAACTTCAGAGCATCACATTCATCCGGAAACCGTTTGAAAAGCATCTGAACGTTTTCAACCAGCAATTAATATAGCCATATAAAGATGATATATTTATTCATTTCCACGCTCATCCTAGGGCAACAATCATGAAAACCATGAGCAGTTTCACTGAAGTCATAATTTACAGTTACCAAGAACTAGAGGATGTAAATAAAATTATGGAGAACATAATGAAAGTGCAAGCCAATTAGATTAGGGGGTAAAAGACTAATTATAGATATAAGTGAAGCAAACCTCAATGCTTAATGAATTTATTTTTAATAGGTTTCATCAATTTTAGAACCTTTCCACAGTTTTTTATCCAATTAGAAAACAATATTACAAATTGCAATCCTAAAGCCCAATGTTTTTTGACTCACCTCAAGCCTTGGACTCGGCCCTGGCCTGAGGCAAGGAACACAGCTGAGTAGTGTACAGGGCCAAAAGGCTTAAAAAAATAAAAATAAAAAATCTTACAATAATATAAAGATTGTAAAAGTGTAAAAAACCAAAGGCGACATTAAGGGTCCAAAAAAGCTAAAAAATACATACAAAACATAGGTTTAGAAAACGGGAAAATGACATGTACCCCATCCCCCTAAATTTCAATCCCTTGGGTACAACTAAAAACCCCTGGATGCCCTATGCTTTTAAAACTGAGAACAAGGAACCCCCGCCCCTACCCCCAACTTATACTCTCTCTATGCTAAACTACAATATTTGCCATTTTCTTTCGTTTAATTCTAATAAAGAACAAATAAAACCCAACCTTTATTCCGTGAGCCTTATCTCTCTTCACCGTTATTGTCTCTCGCCTCTCTCTTCACCCTTCACCATTCTCTCTATCTTTCTAATCCATCTCATTCCAATCTCCTCCCCTCTCTCAAATCCACCCCATTCATCTTCTCTGCCTAAATCACTAAACCAGTGTTTTTGCCCAAAACATCAATTAAGCCATCAGTTATGTTCACCCGAAAAAACGCACAAAACAAATACCAAAAAAAAACTGCAAAAAACTCTAAATCAATTTGGAGAACCATCGAAATTGAAGAACCACAATAATTCTTCAAAGAATCAAATCGAAAACTGTAAAAATCAACGAAAAGATTGCATTTTGGAGTTTCAAACCCGAAAACCATTGTCTTTGAAGAACCTACACGAAAATTTGCAGATGTAGATGTTGCACATCCGAAAACCAGGTTGGAATTGTTGGAACCTTAGCTGGAAAAACTATTTAGAAAGATTGGAGAATATTTTCAAAAGTTTTAGTGGTGTTTTCTTGGTCTCTCTCTCTAAAGAACCCCAAAAATCTCTGTTTTTTTGGATAACGGGTTCTTGGGTTTTGGAGGCAATGGAGCTGGTTATTGCAAGCAGAGATAGGTTGATTAAAGAAATGATAAACAGAGAGGTGTTTTGGAAACAGATATGGGGGGATTAAAGGGGAGAGAGAGAAAGAAATGAGAAAGAGAGGGTTTGTGGAAGCAGAGATGGGGGATTCAAGGGGAGAGAGAGAGAGAGAGGAGGGCGGGAGGGAGGGAGGGAGGGAGGGAAAGAGAACTTAGGAGATTGAAGAAATGAAAAACAAAAATGAGGAGATTGCAGTGATACGAGGGAGAGACTTGAGGAGGTTGGCAGAGAAACTCGGATGGAATCCAACAAGGTCTTTGCTGTATTTTTGCTACTTGCAAGGCTGCGCATCATGGCTAAGGGGCTCTTCTCTCTCTATACCATGAACCTGTGTTACCTGTTGTGTGCTTTCACCATTACTGTTTCACTATTTTGTTTCTCTTTTCATGTCAGAGAAGAAGATGGGCAAAATAGTAAAAGTAACTCTGAAAGAGACATTCAGGGGGTTGCTGGTCCTGTTTTTGAAACTGGGAGTTCTAGGAGGTTTACAAGAACGCGAGGGATGATATGAACTGTAAGCTATAGAGGGGCGGGGCTATGTCCTTTTCCCTTAGAAAAAAGTGATTTACGGTGGGAGATCTTTTAGAAAAATCCAAAAAAACAAGAAAATATAAAAATAGGGCATATGACAAGGAAAACTCACAAATGACTGTAGAAAACATCCAAATTACATAAACAATTTTTATTTTTGATTCCATATTTCTATAGATTTTTTACGATATTTTCTAATTTTTAAGTGGCCTGAGTTGGACCCGAGTACTCAGCTCAGCAAGGAACCGAGTCCGAGTAATTCGGCTGAGTTTTTAGCTAATGCTAGAGCCCCAACCAATTAGTAGAACTTTCAACATTCTTTTGTGAGGCATTTAGATGAGTAGATCATCAGTTAGATGCTTACAAGGAGTTCATCAGCCAGCTCGGAAGAAGATGCAAAGAGAAGACCATTGTGCTCAACTTTTACAAGCTCCTCAATGCTTCATTAAGGCAATGAAAAACCATAATCATAAGACAGAGTCAAACACCTACAGGCAACTGGTAACAAATGATAGATCATATAATCAGATGGGGAGCAGTGTTTCAAAAAGCGCTAGGCAGCACCTAGGCAGTCAGGGGGTTTAGGCAGCCCAACGCCTAGGCGGTCGGGGGGTCTAGGCAGCCCAGCGCCTAGGCGGGCGCCCAGAACTTGGGAGGCACAGTAGAATTTTTTTTTTTTTTTGGGTTCTCTCTCTCTAAAATAGCTTTTAATGGATTTTACGTTTTAAATGAACCTAAAACCCACAACCTAAACCCTCAAGGAGCCGCATTTCTGCCCCCAGGCAGGGCGCAGGTTTTGGGGGGCCGACTGACCTAAAAGGCCCTCAAGGAGCCGCATTTCCGCCCCTGGGCGGGGCACAAGCCCTAGGCGGCCGACTGACCCAAAAAGCCCTCAAGGAGCTACATTTCCGCCCCTGGGCGGCCACCCAGGGATATTTGCCTAGTTTGGCCACCTAGGCCTGGGCGATGCGCCCAGGTCTAGGCGGCCGCTCAGGCGTTGGGCGGCCCACTTTTTAAAACAATGATGGGGAGTATATTACAATCCATGTAGTATGGCATACAGCACACCAAAGCCCATACACCTTCCATTTCTGATGACGGATAGTGAAGATAAACTGTTGTCGGACCCTAGTGCTCTAGAACTCCACCTTCCATCATCAGAACTGTTCCCTTGGAGCAACATATAGATTACTCCATTTGATTGTAGTATACTTTCCCTTAGCAGAGACCAAGTGAAGAAGTGAAGAATACCATGAATAAGAAACAGCACAGACTGGTAGTCCACACCCGAACATATCCACAACCTAAATACCAGAAACGTTTTGAGGGAAAGTTTAACCGAAATAGATATTAGATGAAAACAACATACTTACATCCAAAGAAAGGAAAGGACAAGAAACTTGAAAAAGGACATCAATTACCTCCCCAAGAGAAAAAAATGATTAAACTAAAAAGTCCTTTAACTTGGTGAACCAATGATATAAGTCACCTTCATTGGAAGGTCCAAGCCAGATGAGGAGGTATGAAGACATACACCTAAGTCAGCCGATCCTACAAATAGCAAAGTTGAAATAATAGGCATTTATCAATTCTAGAAAAGGTACACAAAAATCCAATGAAATATGGTACACTGTACTTCAAAAGGATATCCACCATCCATTCCACATGAGTGACAGTGGAGATCAACTATCGCGGGAAGAATGTCCAAGTGGGCCCCACTATAGTCAATGAGACTGTAAACATCCTTTAGAAATAGCACATGCTAAGTCATTTTCCCGTAATTATAAAGGAAGAGGCAGCACAGGAAACAGTTAAGAACAGTACCAAGCAACAAAGGATAATCCTCAGCTTTAAGCCACATTGTCCTGAATGCCACACGTTTCAGATTTAACTTCTTTATTTGTTCTTCGTACTTTTCTCTTTGTGGACCTTTACCTTCAAGGATCATGCTGGTTTAGGGCTTTATTTGAATATGAAGTCCAAATTATCAATGTAAAATTGATAATAATTTATATTAACGAACCCAGAACTCTAAATTGTCAATGTGCATGTTAATGTGACAATCTCTATGTGGGTTTGAAGTAACATTTACCTGTAATAATAAACAATAATCTTGGGTATAGAAATTGTTTCCCTTTGGATATCTCAGACCATATAATTTCATTCTTTATGGAATCAGGCTCATTTAAAATCGCCGCCACTCGCCTATCATACATTAGCGCTGCTTGTAAAAGCATCTCAAAGTCCTCATCAGCAGTCCTGGAAAAATATTTGATTTTCAATATCAAGTGAATGGAAACAAAAACACGAAATAATCCTTCCATCATCAATTTCAACCTAAGCAACACCAACCTCAACCTCTATAAAACAATGTGCTAGTCCCAACTACCAGATTCCTTTTATGATCCATACTTGAATTAAATCTTTTTAGGAAAAATACAAGCCAGTTGGACAATTACTGATTAGTGAAGATAGCCTAAAAGCACGCATGGAGGAATTGGTTTGCAAAAGGCTTGATAGAAAGGACAAATCTGGATAAAAAATCATGTCTTTAAGTCAAAAAGATTAAAGGAGGAGGTAAAGAAGATCACAAGGAGTAACAGAGATGCTTTCCATTTGGAGATGAACCAAATTTTCTATTAAAAATAGTCATTAAACCTTAACCTTTGGTCTTGTTTTTTGATACCTGATTTGCACGAGGGATGTCAAGGGTTTGAACCTTGAAGTTTGTCCCTCTATAAACAGAGCAACCTACCAAAAAACGTTCTCAAATCTCAATCATAAAGTAGAATCCATTAGGGTGGAGGGCCTACCTCCTAAACAAGAAAGACACCAGTCACAAAACACAAGAAAAGCAGCGACAAAAAAAAACAGCGTAGATTGTTCAAATCCTTAAGAATGATGGCTTCAGTTTAAGATCATAAAGAACATGCCATGATTTGATGATATAGACCAATTAAATCTAATATCAATCCTAAGAGAGTCTAACAGATTAGCTGAGCCCAAAGCTAAAGTCATGTTAAGAGGACAAACTTCATGCTGAGCATGAAAACTTAACAAGCACTGAAGCAAGCAGCAAAAGTAGGACCCCCATATATGGAGATCAACTGATAAACAAGAAACAAGTGAGTAACTGAATATTTAATGACTAGCCCACAATTTATTAACAATAACTTTGAATCCCATATATTTGTCTTACCAGCTAGTACTGCTAACAATAAGGGCAGGTCTGTTCTCATTCATGGATAGGGAATCACCAATCTGAGTTGTAAAGAGGGAGTTGCCCGTATTTTCTACAAAAACTCATAATGAATTATATTAAAATGACATTCAAATCTTCTCCATTTTCCATCATACTTTAGAAAGGACTGCATTATCTACTTACCATCAATATCATGAGTCACACAATCATGAAGGCCATGTTGATGACTGATATCCTTCTTTAATCTACAGAACAACTACACTAGTATCGAGAGGTATCTAATTACTTTCCATAGAACAGCAAAGTCACCTTACTTAAGCTAAGTGACTGATCAAAGAAAAAAGAATGAATTGAAAAAGAGAAAGGTGCAATGGAAACAACAAATTCACCTCATGTTTCTCTGCAAGCAAAGCAGGACGAAAAAATTCAGGGGGCTGATCATAAAGTACTACTGCCCTAACCACGAAAAGGCAAAACATAGAGTAAATATGAAAAGAGAAATATACAGCTTACAAAGTCTTAAGGGACCATTCAAATTGTAAACCAGTGCGACCAGGACTGGATAGGTTTGGCTCGTACAAATGATCTGATACCAAACATGAACTCACAAACACAGTCAATTGCTCAAAACCATATGTCAAACAATTGCAGGGATTTCTGGGAACTGGGTAGTTCTAGCCCAGCTTTCTAGGTTCTTTCCATCTGCCAAAAAAATATTCTTATATTTTCATTTCCATGCCATTCTAGCCAGGTTTGCAGTTTTCTTTGGTAGAATATTTTTGAAATTCAAAGGTCCTAAAGACCACTGTATAAGAGATAGAGGGCATTTTTTTTCTTCATGAACTCTTAACTTTAATGATCAAACAAAGGACAAGGCATTTTTTCTTCATGAATTCTGACCTATTATGATCCAATGTATGTGAACTTATTAGGTCTAATGGTTTTTCAGAGTAACAAAAAAATTGAAAAGGATTAACCATTCTAAAGATACTTGGTGGTGATCTTGGGTTGAAATTATCTGTTAGTAAGAATTTAGGAACCTAGAACCTGTTTTTGCCTTATTCTTTGATTACATTACTTGTCAACAGGGGCAGTTCTGATATATTTTGTCATAATTCATAATTTCAAATTGAAATTTTTATTTGCAGAGACATATCGAATATGAAAATTTTCAAAACTCCAAGAAATATAACTCAATGTGGTTCTAGAAGGCCGTTCAAGTATGTAGTTAGATATTATTCTTTCTTATATATAATTCTTTTACATTTCAGTTTTTTATCAGTTTTTATATGTAGCATTACATTATATGTGCAAAAATCGCTTCTAGAATAACAACAAAAACATCATTCCATAATTTATTAAAATGAAGAATTTAAGGTATTTCATATTTCACTCACTATTTTATTTCTTTTTTGACCAATCTGACTGGTTTGGACCAGATCACACCCTTTTCATTTCAATTACTAGTCTTCCTTGATAACATCTGTGCAGAACATAAAATAGGAGAAAAGAGGCACTACATCCAACAAACTCATCAAGTCTCAAACCAAAAAGCTTACCTTATACCCCAATTTTGAGCAAGCTCATGCTGCATGGCTTTTGTGACACATAAAGCACCATCAGCCATACTACCAAAATGCCTCTCACACCTACAAAAGGAGGAATCCCATTTATAAATTTTCAATAGGAAGACGCAAATAAGAATGAAAGCAAAATTGCTGAAGTACCAATAGTAAGTCTTAACCAAGGCATGACTTCTCCCAAGTGACAATCCCAGTAGAGTATAACCAAAATTATGCCAATCAATGATGAAAGCAGAACGGCGTAACCAGCAAGCCCATTTGACTGCAATCAAGGTTGGAATAGAAGGAGGATTCTACAAAAAAACAAATCAAAAAAGGTCCAATTGAGATTCTTTGGCATTTACAAACTTAACCACTAGCCAGAACATTTTATAAATAAAAACACTTTCTATAAGTTTCCATAGTGCAGCTTTATGGAATATGAAATTTAACACAGAAGAATTATGTTAACCAATTAAACAGTAAAACAAAATTCTAGTCAGTACTAGCATGAGATCAAATAACTCTTAAGGTAAATTAACATGAATGCAGGAGGGCAATCATTGATGTCAACAATATTCACAACTTGATTCTCTCTATTTTTATGTTTTTATTCGGGAAACAAAACCACAAGCCCAGCCCCAAAATCATTACGAAACATAAAAAATGTTCCAAGTTTTACACTTTGAGCGTGTTTGCTTTGGCGGAACTTTTGGGTACTGGAAGACCTGAGTTCCACCAAAAACACTACCATGTTTGTTGCACCCCCTTGGATGCCGCAAGACTAGGCATTCCACGGGGGTTATTTTTTAACATCGAATGGGCATCTTTCTGGAAGCAACCCCCTTCCATGCTAAAGGATGGAAGGGGGGAAGGGGCGGCTTCCATATTTCGAGAAAGAGGGGGCTTTGGCAGCCCCCCATTAAACAAACACACCCTTTTGGAATGCCTTTTTTACATGTGTGCCTCACTAATAGCACACCACTATTCGAATAGATTTCTGCCTCTTCTCTCTTTTCCCCTACCAGATCATCTAAAACCTTAGCCTCTTATATCCTCCCTCACCTGCCCTCTCCCTTAAAAAAAAAATTTATGAAACAAAACAAATGAAAGAGAACAAAGAAATATACTGATGATGATGACGACGACGATGGTGACAGTGGTGGTGGTGGATGACATTTCACAAAAAGAGAACCAATAGCAAATGCAACTTCATTCCAACAAATGAATATTAATAAAAGAGTTTCTTCACTAATACTTCAAGGCTGTCCACCAACACCCACATGCAAATTTGAGTTTCCTTTCATCACGAGTATGGTACATGGGACTCTATATTCTTTTTCCTTTTTCGTATTAACATCAAGGAGCAAATATCAGTAAATAAATTTCCAACTATGAAACATAGATTGGATAGTGTGGACAATAAGTAACCTCAATTTCCATTGGATCATGGTCTTGAAACAATATGTCATTTATTAGACTTGCAATGCCAATATAAGATAGAAGCATCTTAATGCCAACATTTTAATTTCAAGGACACGCTCCAACTGCAAAAGTATATCTCAAACAAGGCATACAAGATAAATGAAAGTGTCTTAATGATCAGAAGTATCTCGGTACAGCCTGACTATGCAAGTGTGAGCATAATGCACAATCTCAAGCAAGTGCGACCGTATTTGGGGGTATGTGGTTGTGGATGTGAGTTCTCAGTGCATGAGTGTGCAAGAGCAAGACCACAAGAGCATGGAAAAAACATGATACAAAGCAAAATACAATTAGAAGAGGTGAATCATGCAATGACAAAGTAATACTTTGTAATACCCATTTTTGGGGGCCCAAACATTTTATAATACTTGTTATGATATTAAATAGAAAGTTAACTCTCGGAAAATAGAAAATTATGGAATTGTAAGTAGAGTGCTCCTCACCTGTACAATGAAGACATCAGGTGAAGGTATCCTAATGCAGACATACCAAAGAAGCACCAGGAACTGAGCCAGTGCCTTTAGTGGGAGAGCCAATAAATAGAATATCCTTGGTAAACCATGAGGAATCACTTCCTTCTGCAATAAAATTTACAGTAGTTCATGTTAAAGTTGTGCAAAAGACGCAAAAACCATCTTACACTTAAAAATACGGATTTCATTAGTACCATTGTGTGAAGGTGAATAGAAGGATTGTCTAAAACAGCACCGTGAGGATCGGATCCTGTCAAGATATTCCATAATCCACATAATATTTTAACACATGAGCTACAAGAGAAAGATTTGAACTTACAAACGACTTAGGTGAAAGAACACAAGAAGAATTGCAAGATATTAAATTCATCAAGGCAAAAACAAGAAATTCCTAAAAAAAAAACAGAGTGAAGCAGCATATTCAGGTCTGAGCAGAAAGGGAATGCATGAAAATGCTTGCAGTACTGCAAGCATGGATCAAAATGGACAGATAACAGAATGGATGGGAAAGGCAGAGTAGAAATGTCAGCCCAAGCAATCATATCTGTTTTCTTTACGTTTCTTTGGTGGAAGTTAAGTGTTAGGATCTTTAATCTGGGACAAAGTGTTGCGATTTAAACACCTTAATCATTCCAAAGAGCAAACAAATCTCATTAGATTTACAGAACAAATAATTGGTTGTAAGGGTAAAGGGAATTTGTGAAAACTATGATATTTACTGTAGGAATGGAAGTATAATGATAGACAACATGAAATCACAAGAAAGTCATTGATACCTAAAAGCATGGTATTTGACGAGAATGATACCTAACAGCATGGTATTTGATGAAATCAGCATTTTATGGACTTGAAGATAGGAACGAGACTCTACCAGATAGGAAAGCACTAAAGCACGATGGTTCTTTGGTTTTAGACAAAGTAGTCAAAAGCATTCAATATGATTGTATTAGTCGAGAATATACAAATCAGAGCATGTGGCAAACCATAAACCATGCATGGGAAATAGTATAGTTGAAGAATTAGAAGGAAAGTATAGCAGGATTGGTCCTATAGAAGGAATGCCCCATACTTCTGTTAATCCTTGTAAAAATGAATCCACAGCCTCATCCTCCAATCTTTCATTAAAGTGAGTATTACTTCTCCAAATTGTGGAGTGTGAGCATTTCAAGTTCAAGAGCTGTAGGCATCTACACATCAAATGTAGGTATCTTATCGATGATGAAGCTAGGGACGAAGCATGAGTCGACAAATTTAATTAATTGAAACCCGTTAGGACCTAGATGTATCAAGACCTTTAGTGAATAAACTAGAACACCCAAAGTTTCTATATAAGGCATGCTTTATGGACCTGAAAAATGCCTCCATCGACGATTGGTCAGGGATGTCAAAACATGACACCCCAAAAATTGCAGCCATGTCACATATTCCTCCATTGCAAAGTGGCTGGTAATCTTTTGGCCTGATCTACTACAGCTATTCCAATGGTCCTTAGTTCTGCCCCAGTCTATACCCACCCTATTTCAGGGCGACTACTCTACAACCTTCTGCCACAGGGACATTTCTGTGGAGAGCAGCCTTAGCATCAACTATTTGGGCGCTGTGAACAGAAAAGAACAGTATTTTCAAGGGCATGGAAAGGAAAACCAAGTTCCTCAAAGATCGCACTAAATCAGTGGTAACTTTGTGGGCAATAAACTCTAAACATTTCAAGTTCCATTTCCGCCACAGATTTCATCAACAACTGGCAAGCAATGCTTAAAACACAGTCTCCACGAGTTCCTCGGTCATCCCTGAGGAGACCACCGGAACCAGACCAAATCAAACTGAACTTTGATGAATGTTCACTCAGAAACCCGGGACCTGCAGGATATTGGGGGAAATTTCGTGATCATAACAGGAACACTGTTGAGTCCTACTCTAGTTGTCACAGGCCACATAGATTCCACAATGGCAGAAACAGTCCTTGATAGAAGGGACCAAAAGATCTAATCAGCAATGGGGCTCATCTTTAGTGGTTGAGGGTGCCTCAAAAAATGTAATAGCCTGGGCATCTGGAGCCTACCCCTGCCAATGGCAGCTAGAACACCTTTTTGACCAAATACTCGATATATACAGGCACATTCAAATCTCCTTTCAGCATACTTGGCGGGAGGCAAACTCAGAGGCTAATGCCCTCACCAAAGAAGTAGGTGCTACAGGCAATGCCAACAGAACCATTTCTGGAACCTTTTGGCTTTGGTTCCATGTTATTTTTGTTTCTCTTTCTGCTTTCTGCTTTCAGCAGTCCTGCAACCCATCCTGCTTATGTATCTAGCACCTCAGGGTGCACCTCATTTCTGAAAGTATAGAGCACAGGACTTGTGGGTTGCCATTTTTTTAGCACAGAATACCCAATCTGTGGGTAACCATTTTGGAAAAACCATTTTTTACTTAAATCTTGTCCTAATACAAAAGTTAACATTAACTCAAAAGTGCAGCCATGTCAATGCAATGGTACAAATAAAAGTATAAATAAAAATAAGAAAATATATATAAAAACAAGGAATAAACAATATTTTGACAGTTCTAATCCAAAACCAGACCATACCTCCATATGCTACAATATCAACTTCTAAAGACGCCTGTACAACAACATGCACAATCATTAGTAAAGCTTAGCACTGCATGTCAAGATTGAATTCATACTTAAAAATGGAAGACCAGGAAAATGAATACCACAATGAGAAAAAGCAAGTGCAAAATAAACTGGATAAACCAAATCAATGCAAAAGCAAACAATGGCAGCAAATGAAAAGAGAGACAGCGAGATAAAATGAGAGGGATGTCCAACCCCACCCCCACCCCCATCCCAAAAAAAAAAAACAAAATAGGGAAAAAAAAGTACACACACACACAAAGAATAGTGGATGTTTGTTCAAGAAGATAGCAAAACTTTATTTATCTATAATAAGAACAAAAAAGCTGGTCACCAACTAACTACCCAGTAGAAAAGTTCAGCATACAATTTAAAACAATATATCAGTACTTAGTCCCAGCCAAATAGTATATACCTCATCAAGCAACAAATCCTTGTTAAGTATTGGTCCACTTATAAAATAAATCAATGAAAACTACCAAATGCAATCTTTAACTACAAATCACATTATGCATGCATGGACCTTGTGTCCAACAAATTCTCCTATAAGAACTTTCACAGTACGCAATAAGGAAGAATGATACTGTTTGATTGGGCGTATAAAAGGTATCTTAGATAATGGTACCAAATTACAATGAACCACAAGCCCCTGATGCAAATAATAGTAGAAAAAGAACAACAATATATCACACACACATGCTCTTTCTCTCACACATACACCCACAACAATAGGCAAGGGTATAAAAGGTATCTTAGATAATGCTACCAAATTACAATGAACCACAAACCCCTGATGCAAATAATAGCAGAAAAAGAACAACAATATATCACACACACATGCTCTTTCTCTCACACATACACCCACAACAATAGGCAAGGGGCCTAATGACTCATCATCAGCATTTTAGCTTTTTCCCAATTAATTGGGGTCAGCTAAGTTTAGTAGGATTCATGATGGGTTTTGGCAAAATTTTATGTTGGCTGCCTACCTAACACAACTATGCCCCTTTATCCAAGTATGGGATGGGTTAAGGGAAAGTTTAAGGTCATCACTTCTTAGACCAATGAATCTGAGCTTAAATTGTAAAACCATAAAAATGAAATGAGAAATATGCACAACCACTAATATGTGAGGAATAATAGTATACTTGTCCTCGACCTCAGAAATTTGACTTCTATTATTGCACCACCATGTCCAAGCAAGTGACAAAGCCAAAGGAAACATAGTGTATAAAATGATGAATTCGTGGACCATGTGATACATCTGTGTATGTTGCTCTTAGTTGCGCCATGTCCAAGCAAGTGACAAAACCAAAGGAAACATAGTCTATAAAATGATGAATTAGTGGACAGTGTGATACATCTGTGTATGTTGCTCTTAGTTACTCTGAAAGGACAACATATAACAAAGAAGAAGTACCTAACCTTATTGACATGCATCTATCGTTCATAGAGTATTTTTTTTTTTTCCTTACATGTGAGGAAAATAACACTATTATCAACCAGATGTGCATGATTCTCAGTTTTCATTTTATTAAGTATCATAAAGCCATAACTACATTTTGCAATATAATGACTCAAAGCATTAAATCATACTTACATATTATCAAATGTGAGCCAAAAAGGACAATTTATTGACTCTTCTTCCTCTTTCCTATCATGCTTAAATCACTGTTTCTCATGTCAATGAAACAGAGATTTGTACATATTTTTCAGTTAGCTTCTCGAAATATGATCCATCAAAGAAAATCGCGGATCAATTGCATGTGAATTTGCACACGCACTAGAGCAATTTAATGGGGTATAAGGAAAAAATTGATCAAAACAAATTGACACATTGTGGCAGTTCACTATTCAAATAACAAATTGATCACACTATGGCAGTTCAGTCTTTGGATTTAATCACAGTTCATCATATGTCACGCCCATGGAAACAATTCATTAACAGTAGATAGACAGAGAGAAATCATAAGACCTGGCGAGCTAGAGAAAGAGCGTGGTATTGCATGCGAGGGCTGCGCCCAAAATCTCCAAGGACCACAACTGCGGCTCTACCTCTCTTCCCCTTCTTCATTGTTTTCTGAACCATCACAAATTTCATGACCATAACACATATATATTACTTCTTCCCTTTCTTCATTGTTTTCTGAACCATCACAAATTTCATGACCATAGCACATATATATTACTTCAAACAACAAGCATGATATTTACAGAAACACAACTCAGCTAAAATTCCCAAACATTGTCGAATATTTACAGAGAGAGAGACTTATCAAAAGAGCACGATTGAGAATATTGTAATCAGAGGGAAAGATAGTCTTACCAAAGGCACACGATTGAAAATTTACGATTTGAAAGACAGAAGGAGAGCAACTGAAAATATTGAATTCAAGAAGACGCAAGAGAGAGAGATGGAAAGGTGCGGGATTGAGAAGAAGTTTGGGGGACGTAGGGACCTAAGTTTATCGAGGACATTGGCTGCGAAGTAGCGTGGAAACTGGACGGTCCAGATGTTTTGGTCCCTCCAGTTTTGATCCCTGCTGTCCACTCTGTTTTCTTTGGAGCCTATATATGTCTTCCCGCGGGAGCGTACTGCGCAGTTACTCCCTCGCCAGAACACTTAGCTAAGTTGATTTTTTTAGTCTAAACCTTTGGGAACTATATAACAATTACTAGATAATTATTTTTAAAAGAAAAAAATATGAATTTTGGGCTTTGTGACATTTAGATTTAATTCTTGAAAAATTGGATAGCCTCTATTCAATCTTGAGGTATTTTAGGCTTTTCTATTAGTTCATTTCTGGCTAAAATATAAGGGCAAGCTTTCTATGCTTTCCCTATAGCATAGAAGTTCTATCCTCTCCTTATCCAACCGTCCATTGTGAATGGAGGGCTAAGATTGTCCCAATCACAATGTCACATCTCTACACTATTTTATTTTTTATTTTTTTCTATAAACTATTTTGACACAAAATTTTGGATGTCCATTCCTCTATATTAAACTCGCACTAGCAAAAAAAAAAAATTTCAATAAAATAAAATGATCAAAATACCCCTGAAAGTTTCAAAGGGTATTTTGATCATTATATTTTATCGAAAAATTATTTTTAATATTTCTTATAGGTGTGCCCCAATGAGAAGATGGCACGTACCAAATTTCATATTCATACAATTTGTACAAAAAAACTAAAAATAAATTACTTTGAGACATCAGATCTAAGATCAAACGGTGAGTGGCTCTCTTGATCAAAATTGAATGGCTGGATGGTAGGGGTAGGATAGAACTTCTATGATGTAGAGGAAGTATAGAAACATTTCCCAAACGAAAAAAAAAAGGGCTAAAATATATCCTCGTTGGTTTTGCCTGAGGGAGGGAATGGATACTATACTCCCTAGGGAAGAGAAAATATTTTAGCATTTTTCTGTTTTAATCACCTAGGAGTTTTGCTATACATTAATACATGAAAAAGTTTATAGGAAAATTGTATAAAACCCCCTAAAATAGTCTTTCTAGGCACTTTACGCCACCAATTTTTTCTTAACATATTTTTCCTAAAAATCAAGTTTTATAGCAAATACCCCCAATACAAAAAGTTCAATTTTTTTGAACAAAAATACCCTTTTAGTATATAATTGGCAGGCCCATCCATTATGCCAGACCGAAACTATACACTACGGACCGAAACTATACACTATCGGGCCTCCTATTCCAGACATAATTTTGACCGCTCATTAATCTAGAAACAAATGCCGAACCACCTCTACCAAACTCCAAACCGCCATGATGAAGAGCCGGACAGCCATGGTGAAGTGCCGGATCATTTCAAATCAGTGACTTAAGCGTGGGACCGCTATGGTCAACATGTGAGGTAAGGAGGGGTATTTTTAGTCTCTTTGTATTGTTTTGCTAAGAAAAGTTATGTGGGATAAATTGAGTAGAAATACCATTTTTGGGGGTTCTATACAATTTTTCCAAAAATATATATGAAGCACCAAAAGAATTCATTAGAAGAGGCTGTTTTCGTGTCCAAAAACTCTCAAATCAATCATCTCAACCCCAAAGATGTATGCATGTGAAAAAAAATGATTTCAAGTTTGGAAAATAGTACATCTTGTAATGAATTATATGGGCTATGCTTTAAATTTTATAATTAATAGATCTAGGTTATTTTTAAAGCTTTAAATTTTATAATTAGATATATATAAAAAATATATTTAAGCCATTCAAAACTTTTTGCTAATGAAAAATAATCTTTATGCACTATTTAGAGTATCGGGCACTTAAACTTTTCCTGACAATTACAGGCCAAAAAGCCATCCCCATTCCTCGTGCTTTTCTTTTGCATTGCTTATCCATATAAACCAGTAAAATGCAAATTCAAACCCGAAAACCCTCTCCGCAACCAAAATTAATGTGACCATCTTTGTTTACCCAAACCACAAATTCTTTAGCCTCCTCTCTCTCTCTCTCTCTCTCTCTCTCTCTNTTGTACTAACGAATAACAGTATTACTAACTAATAGTATAGTAAGTACGTACGGGGTAGGGTAGGTAAGTACGAAGAAAGTAAAGTTAAAGTAAGTAAAG